AGCTAAAATCCTCTGGACAGCAATGCTTTTGTAATTCTATCTTCTTTTTCATAGTTATTCCATCTTCTTTCTCTGGTGAGGACTGTTTCTTCTCACTGTCAATACTGCTGCTTCTAAACTGTTGTTTTAACAACTGACCAAGAGAACCCCAATTCAGTGATGTGTACCAGCTTTGTCAAGGTTTTTTCCCTTCTAGGTTTTGAAGAGTTAAGATTATTAAGAGACAGATAAAGTCTAAGATCTCGTTTTTGCTCAGATTCTATTAATTTTTTACTAGTCTGACATGTATATATATGAATTTATTCTGTACTCAACTGTACTAGTACAGCTGTTTTATTTTCTATTCAGAAAATATAGCACTATGATTGGGGAGAGGAGTCTCTATAGGATATACTATTGGTATAATTAAAAAGTACTAAATAGAGGAAATTAAGTAAAAACAATTTTATAAATGAAATTTCTTATAGCAAGAACCCCAGAGAAATTATTTGGCTACAATGGTAAGAACAGTAGTAATTACTTTTCTCACACATTTCTTAGTGAGGTCGAATAACAACTGCTAGTTTTCTAGATCTTCTTAATGACTTCAAGTTAGGTTTTGATAAAATTTATGATTATAACATGACTAGTATGTCTATATTCTCTCAAGAATAGCTCATTATGCTATTTCTCATCAGCTATTCTTTAAAAGTAAAATCATTATCCCCAGTAACTCTGGTGAGGCTGTTTTGCCTAACAGAAGTACACAGAGAAAAATTTGTTCTCCCACCCTAATATTCGGATCCAAAGTATTTGAGAACTGCTAAGGCTATCCTAAAAGACGAAGTTTAAATGTAAATCTAAAACTTTGATCCACTGTACAGGGACTCACAAATAGATCAAGAGGCCCTGTTTTCAAAATAGTAACTCTTTGGACCTTAAAATGTAAATTAACCCTTGTAGCAATTCTTAATACCTTATTTCTGTTTCACATGATTTGTTTTTCTACTCACCAAATGCCTTCTAATTTTTAAAGACCTAAAACTTATTAATTTTTTTTTATTATTCAGCACCTATGACTTGACCCCAATTATTAACTAGATACTAATCCAAACATTGGGTACAACCAGTCTAAAAAATTATGATTTGGCACACCCGCCCTGGGCACGCCTGTGCCTTTGCCTGTCCCCTCCGCCAGACATGCATCTCCCAATCTTGAAACCACCAGGGCAGCAATGAGCAGGGGCAGGCCATCCCAGGCTAACCCGGACCCTTTTCTGACATCTTAGTGAACCAAAGCAGACCAGCCTAGGCTCATTTCCCCACCTAGTCCCTCTCCTGTTTTCACAGGCCCTTCCTTCTTTCACTGTCGCAACTTTCATAACCATCCTTTAAAATTAAGAAAAAATGGTAACTATTAAACCTTGCTAAGAACCAGACTTTCTGAATCTCATTAAATGGCATCATCGTCGTGTAACCAACTTTTCAAGGTATGGAATCTTTAATCTGCCCTTATTCCTCTCTTTATCCTACTCCCTGCATCTAATCCATCAGAATGTCTTGCTGTTTCTACCTAAAAAAATGTATTACTTTTCTCCATGACACAGCTGTTACCAAACTATTCTGTAGAGTCTGATTTTAGCTACTTGTTATTTTAGATCTTGCAGGGCTTGCCCCTGTCATGTAAAAGCAGCCAGAGCCAGACACCACATTAAATATTTGGCTATGCTGTGTTCCAATAAGACTTTATCTACAAAAAGAAGTGTGCCAGATTTGGTCCACAACCATAGTTTGCTGCCTTCCGCCCTACAATATGCCAGCTTTGGCTTTCTTCTCAATTACTGCTATCGGCTCCCAACTATTCTCTCTGCAGCCACTATTTCCCCTACAATCCATTTTCCCTATAGCAGCAATATTGACTATTTAAAAATACAAATTATTAGCAAATCTTTAACTTAAAATCTTTCAATAATCATCCAGGGCACATAGCCCCTGTATGATCTGCCTCTACTTACTTCTCCAACTTATCATTGATTCAAACATGCTAAGCGTGTCTTCTCTCAGCTGTTTTTATGTCATCTCCTCTGAGATTTGTCTCTGACCGCCTAATTTAAAGTAGGGTACTCCATTACTCTCTAGCTCATTATTGTATTGCCTCCACCATATTTACAACGTTTCTCATGTCTACTTGTTTTTATCTGTCTTTCCCGCTAGAAAATAACTTCTTCTCAAAGAAAATGTCTATATTGTTCTAAATTTTATCCCCAAGACCAGCACATGGTAGGCATTCAATAAACATGTGCTGAATTTATTAACGTAAACACATCCTTGATCTCACAGATCCTTGATAGTTCCTGAAGGAGACCGCTAAAAGTTTACAAACATGCAATTGTAGTAAGTACTCTGGAAGAAGAGAACAGTATGCTACGTATAAGAAAAGTATTGAGGGCCGAGACCGGTTTGGCTCAATGGATAGAGCGTCGGCTTGGGGACTGAAGGGTCCTGGGTTCGATTCCGGTCAAGGGCATGTACCTTGGTTGCGGGCATATCCCCAGTAGGGGGTGTGCAAGAGGCAGCTGATCGATGACTCTCTCTCATCGATGTTTCTAACTCTCTATCTCTCTCCCTTCCTCTCTGTACAAAATCAATAAAATATATTTAAAAAAAAAAAAAAAAAAAAAAAAAAAAGAAAGTATTGAGGAAATAAGTAACAGGGAAAAAGGTCTAAGAAGAGTTTGTCAGTCAGAGGATACAGCATGGGAAGAAGCCTTATGGGCCTCACACAAAAAAACTAATGAAATTCCATTTGGTTCCTGCATTTGGCTAATTTCTAAAACTAAATAGTTAAGTTTTATCTAGGGCTGGGATCATTCAGGATTCAAACTCCAGAATAAATCGCTTAAATTGGATTTCATGTTGGATTGAATGGTGTGTGTGTGTGGGTGGTGGTGGTGGGGTGTTACTGCAAGGCTTCTTATGATCTGGTTCGTTTTCCTCTTTAACTTCATTTCCTACCAGCTCTCCCTCTTGCATCCAAACCGACCTCCTTGCTATCCTCACCATGGCAAGATGCTCCCACCTCAGGGCCCTTGAGCTTTCTGTTTCTTCCACCAACACTCGCCCTCAATACCAGAGGGACAGATGCTTCCACTTCAGTCAGGTCTCTGCTTTAAAAGGCAGCTCCTCAGAGGTGTCTTCTCCGCCCACCCAATCGAAACCACAAGTCCCTGCCATTCTCTCTTCCTTTGCCCTGCTTTATTCCATTTTCAGAGAAAAATATTACATATCTGTTATTGTTTTTTCTCCTCAACTTAAACGTAAGTTCCCTAGAGCAGGGCTTCATTTGCGTTCACCGCTACATCCCGGGCACCTAGAACAATATCTGAAGCTCAAATACCTGTAGAATTTACAACTATTTACAAATAGCTAACATCTGAAGGCTTTATGTGCCAGCATGAGCTTTAGAGGTAGCAATTCATTTAAGCCTCACAACCCCCCTTCCATTACTTCAGGTAAGCAATACTACCAGTTCCATTTTACAAGCGTTGCCAACAGATAAAGGTTAACCAACTTGCCCATGGTCACACAGCTAGAAAGAGACAGAGCCTGGATATGAACCCAGGTATCTGATCTTCAAGTTACCAGGCTGTACCAGCTCACACACGACTGACCACGTGGTCCCGAAGAGCCCCACTCCTTTTAACTGAGGCATGAGCATCCCAGTCACCACAATCTCCACTCAACAGCTTCATCTATTGATATTTCACCTGCCAGGGCTCTATAGGTATGGATATTTGTGGTCCCTGGGTTACAATATCATTAATTTTGGCCTTCAGTTTTGGCTCGTTACATAAACCGCTTTAAATTTTAGCTCTGAATTCACCTATTGAATGAAAGGAAAGCATGTAGACAAACATTGGGCATACTGCCATTGTTACATCGCTATAATGAAAGCTATTAATTCGGGGGCAAAAAGGCATCTCAGATGATTTGTGGCAGATAACTAAATCCTATTTAAACCCCCTCTTGGTGACTTTAAAAGTGTACTAAAGGCCATGAGTCAATACTTTATATATTAAAGCTCTGTGTTATAAACTGAGCGAAAAATATCAGCCTTCTTCATCAACCTAACAACAAACTTCTACCATTAATAAGAACCAGGACGTACCGGGATAAAGAATAAAAATATCAAACGTTTACTGAGCGCTTATGATGAGCTAGACATTGGGTCACAAGTGCTTTGTATATATACCATCTCATTTAATAACCACAAGAACTCAGACACGATCTCAATCTGACATGCCCAAAGTTACTTTGGCAAAGTATTGTACTAGCTCAGCAAGTAACTGTGGGAGCCAGTGCTCCATCCAAGGGCAGTGTGACAACAGGGTCCGGGTTTCTCAGCACCGAACCGCCTTGGAGAGGGTCCCAATCTCCAGCTGTCACTCGGAGGAGCCACCGGGGAAAACCCCAGCCCTAGGGGACCAGCAGGAACAGGGCCAACCCGGCGCGGCACAGACCGGGGTCAGCAGAGTGGCAAGCTCAGAGCTTATACCTTTGCGGGCGGTTTCCACGCGGGGCTCCGGGGCGGAGGGGTCCATCTGGCCCGGGGGAGGGGCCGGGCAGCCTCCGAGGACGGCGGGGCGGAGGCGAGCCCGCAGACCGCGGCCAGCACCGCCTCCCGCCGCCCTGGTGCATCGCCCTCCCGCCCCCCCCTATACCCCGCCGCCGCCGGGCGAGACGGAGCTAAAGTGCAGCCTGATGCGGTCCAGGGAGGAGGGGTGGCGGCGTCCGAGGCGGTGGCGGAGCCGAAGAGCGCTGTGGAGGCTGACGGGGCGGCGCTCACCCAGTCGTCTGAGGCTCCGCCGCCCAGAGAGGACAGCCGACATGCTTGTCGACCCCCGAACCCGCCCTCTTAGGGCGGGCCTCCCTCCACCGCCCACCACAACTTCCAACCCTGACTCGGAAATCCCGCGAGATCGGGCTTCCGAACTGTCATCGGGATCTCGCGAGAACAAAAATCTTGGTTTGCGGGGTGGAGCGACTCCCCTGCGCTCTGTTTTCCCAGGAGAACTGGAAGGTAAAAGTTCGCGATAGTTGGAAGTGTCGCGAGGTTAGGATAGCGCTCGCTCACGTGGTGCAGGTCTGCTGCTGAGCGGGTGTGGGAGAGGCTTGCGGGCTCGTTCCTGCAGTGGTCCTTTAAGGACGGGGAGGAAGGGTGGCGGCCTGGCGGCCGACTGTCATCCCCACCACCTGGCTTATCCTTGGTGTTTGGTGTCTTGGTTCAGGCTGCAAACCCAGGAACATTAGGAGGCGAGCGCTTCCCTCCGGGGTGCTGCTTCAGCCCCTGAGACGCTGACGCCTCGGGGACCCACGCGGGAGGCTGATTGAACTGAGCGCATTTTTCTTGTCATACACTAAGTGTTTCCCAAACTTTTGACACATGTGTACCCCTTCTATAATTTTCGTAATGCTGAGTACCCCTCGTACTCATGAGAAAGTAGAATTAGGCGCAGCTAAGCGCGGTGCTGTGCATATCCCCACCAAACTCCAGTGCAACGCGTACCCCCACCAAACTCTTCCCCTACCCCTGGGGATACGCGTACGACACTTTGGGAAACACGGCATTAAGATATAGTAAGTCATAAATCCCTAATGGGAGTACAAAACCAGCAACACGTGCCATAAACAGAAGGCAGAGGTAAAAGATGCTATGAGAATTTAGTGTCTGCAAGTCTATCTGAAATCACCAGTGGTTTATGTGGCACAGTGCATCTGGTCTTTTTGTCAGCATCTGCAGTTAAACGGGCACTGCGTATCCAACACTGTTCCAGACTGAATTCATTCCGAATAATACGGATAGGCTTCCTTCACTGGTTGGGATGTTTTGTGTACAGTACAGTAGTTTATTGAGTTGGGTAGACTCTCAATTCCATTAATTACAGGCTGTTGTTCCTTGTGATTACGCCCCTTGCCTGAATGGACCTGTATTAGCTTCCTGTGGCTGCTGTCCAAGTCATCACAGACTTAATCAGCACAAAGGCATTACCTTAGAGAGTATAGACAACACAGATTTATAATGATAAACCATCAAAATATATAAAGCAAAAACTGGCAGAATTGAAGGGAAAAATAGACAACTCTATAATAATAGTTGGAAACTTTAATACCCCACTCATAATAATGGATACAAAAACCTGACAGAAATTAAGTAAGGAAGTAGAGGACTTAATATACTAACATCTTACAGACATACAGAATACTACCCAACAGTAACAATAGACATTTTTCTCAAGTGCACATGGGATATTTCCCAGGGTAGACTGACCATATGGTAGATCACAAATTAAATCTCAATAGATTTTAAAATATATGTATCCATACAAAGTATTTTCTGTGACCACAGTGGGATGAAGTTAGAAATATATATATATATATGACCATTCGACCGTTTGCCTGTTAGTTAGTATGCACAATTACCACCATGGGGCAGATGGTACAACCAGTACAAGAGGGAGCCCGATTCCTTGCGAAATCAGCTGTGGGTTAGGTCGCTGCTGGGGCACTGTTGGCCCCAAATCTGATTCACCCACACCCCAGACCGAGACATGGTTTTGGCCCAATCCCCACAATCCATGCACCAGGCCTCTAGTCAATAATAAAAGTAAAACTGAAAAATGCACAAAATTACACTCTTAAGCAATTGACAAAAAATAAATAAATAAAGGAAATTAGAAAATACTTAGAGACTAATGAAAATGAAGACACACTGTACCAAAATTTATGGGATGAAGTGAAGGCGGTGCTACAGGGGAAATTTATAGCTATAAATCTTTACATTACAAAAGAAGATCTCAAATCAACAACTTTAATTTTACAACTTGAGGAACTAGAAGAAGAACAAATTAAACCTGAAGCTAGAAGAAAGAAGGACATAATGAAAATTAGAACAGAAATAAACAAAATACAGGATAATAGAGAAAAGTCATGAAAAAAGTGGGTTCTTCAAAAAGACCAACAAAATTGACCAACCATGAACTACAATAGATGGACTAAGAAAAAAGAGAAGACTCAAATTTCAAAATAAAAACTGGAAGTGAGGACATTATTACCAATTCTACAGAAAAAAAAAAAAAGGATTATGAGAGTAGTACCATATGAATAATTATATGACTAAAAAATGTATAACCTAGATAAAATGGACAAATTCCTAGAAACACAACTTACCAAGATGAAAACATGAATGAATAGAAAATCTGAATACATCAATAACCAGCAAGGAAACAGAATCAGTAATCAAAAATTTTCCAAAAGCCCAGCAGGGTATAGCTCAGCGGTTGAGCATCGACTCAGGAACCAAGAGATCACCAATTTGATTCCCAGCCAGAGCATATGCCCAGGTTGAGGGCTTGATCCCCAGTAGGGGGTGGCTATGCAGGAGGCAGCCAATCAATGATTCTTTCTCATTATTGATGTTTTTATCTCCATCTCCCTTCCTCTCTGAAATCAATAAAAATATATATTTTAAAAATCTCCCATCAAAGAAAAGTCCTAGACTTTATGGCTTTATTGGTGAATTGGTGAATTCTACCAAACATTCAAATAACTAATACCTATTTTTCTAAGACTTTTCTAAAATATTGAAGAGCAAGGAAAACTTCTTAACTCATTATATGAGGAGAGCATAACCTTAATACAAAAGAAACAAGAAAACAAAACCATGGCCAAATCCCTGTGAACATTGATGCAAAAATCCTCAACTAAATACTATCAAACAAATCAGCAGCACATTTTATTTATTTTTAAAAATATATTTTTATTGATTTCAGAGAGGAAGGGAGAGGGAGAGAAAGATAGAAATGTCAGTGATGAGAGAGAATCATTGTTCAGCTGCCTCCTGCAGGCCTCCTATTAGGGATGGAGCCCACAACTTGGGCATTTGCCTTGACCAGGAATCGAACTGGTGACCTTGTTCATAGGTTGTCAGTCAACCACTGAGCCACAGTGGCCAGGCTCAGCAATATATCAATATCTATATCTATATCTATATCTATATCTATATCTATATCTATATCTACACACACAATATATATACTAGAGGCCCAGTGCATGAAAATTCATGTATTGGAGGGGGGTTCCCTGAGCCCAGCCTTTCCCTCTCAGGTTCAGGATCCCTCAGTGGTGGGAGGTGACCTGGTGATCAGAAGGAAGGCAACACCCCCATCACACCTCTGCTCCTATCACTGCCGGCAGCACAAACCTCAACTGCCCCTGGTTACCTGAGCCTTGGGCAGCACTGGGTGCCTGGGCAGCCACCAACTGAGGCTTGCCTAAGCCTCACACTGGCCATGGGCAGCTGGACAGCTACCATCTGAGCCTGGTGGGGCTGAGGGGACTGGGCACTACCATCTTTGAGAGCAGGGAAGTCAATTAGCATATTCCCTTCTAATTGGCTGTAAGTGCTGCCATCTTTGAGGGCAGGGCAATCAATTAACATATTCCATCCTTATAAGCTGTGGGCTCCGCCATTGTGACAGTGTGAGGGTCAATTAGCATATTCCCTCTTCATTAGGTATGATATATATATAGACACACCATGGTTGAATGTGATTTGTTCCTGAAATGCAAGGATGGTTCAACAAAGAAAATTTGATCAATATAATGTGCCACATGAACAAAATGAAGGAAAGAAAAACATGATTATCTCAACTGATGCAGGAAAAAACATTTGACAAAATTCAACATTCATGATAAAAGCACAACAAACCTGGGATAGAAGGAAACTATTTTAACATAACAAAACCCATTTATGGAAACTCACAGCTAACATTATACACAATGGTGAAAGAATGAATGCTTTTCCATTAAGGTCAGAAACAAGGTGAGGATGCCTCCTTTTACCACTTATACTCACCATAGTATTGGAAGTCCTAGCAATTAAGCAAGAAAAAGAAAGAGAAGGCATCCAAATTGTAAAGGAAGTAAAATCTCTGTAGATAATATAATCTTATATGCAGAAAATCCTAACAACTCCACACAAAAAATTATTAGAATAAATGAAATCAGCAAAGTAGCAGGATACAAAGTAACATACAAAAAAATCATTGCATTTCTATACACAAACAATGAACTACCTGAAAACTATAAAACAATTTCATTTACATTATCATCTGTATATATAAAACCCTAATTGCAAATAGAACAGTGGGACAACCAGTCGCCATGATGTGTGCTGACCACCAGGGGGCACACTTGGAACATGGCGGGTGTTGGCAGCAGGTGGCAGAGCATGGATTTAACTTAACCAATGAGATGAAAGTCTTTTACACTAAAAATTAGAAAACATTTCTAAAAGAAATTAACACAAATAGATGGAAACACAGCTCGTGTTGATGGATTCGAAAATTTAATATTAAGATGCCCATACTACTCAAAGTGATCCACAGTCAATCTGATTCTTATCAAAATCAAAATGACTATTTGAAGGAGGGGCAGGGATTGTAAAACCTGCCCCCAAATTCATATGGAATTTCAAGGTACCCAGAAATTCCATATGAATTTAGGGGCAGATTTAGCCAAAATCAATCTTGGAAAAGAAGAACAAATCTGGAGGACTCATACTTCCTGATTTGAACACTTATTACAAAGCTATAGTAATTAAAACAGTGTGGTACTAGCATAAAAATAGACACATAGAGCAATGGAATAGAATAGAGGGACTAAAAATAAACCCTCACGTGATTTGTAACATGGTGGCAAGACCATTCAATAGGGGAAAGGACAGTCTCTTCAACAAATGGAGCTAGGAAATGAAGTCCACATGAGAGGGAATGAAGTTGGATCCTTACCCAACACCATATACAAAAATTCACTTAAAATGGATCAAATAAATTTATGACCTATTACACTAAAACTCTTACAAAAAAAAAAAGAACAAAAGCTTCTCAGCATTGTTTTGACAATAATTTCTTGGCATAAGTAACAAAAGGCATAACTAACAAAAGAAAAAATAGACAAATTGGACTTAATGAGAATTTAAAAATTTTGTGCATCAAAAGACACTATTCACTGACTGAAAGGGCAACCAACAGGATGAGAGAAAATATTTACAAATCATATATCTAATAAGGAATTTATAGTCAGAAAATATAGGAAACTTGTAAAACATAACTACAACAGAGAAAACAACCGGATAAAAAAATGGACAAAAGACTTAAATAGACATTTCTCCAAAGAAGATATATGAATGGCCAATAAACACATGAAAGGATGATCAACATCAGTAAATATTAAAGAAATGCAATCAAAATTAAAATGAGGTGCCACCTATACCCATTAGGATTACTATTTTTTAAATATATTTTTATTGATTTCAGATAGGAAGACAGAGGGAGAGAGAGAAACATCAACCACCAATAATG